TGTTGAACATGTATGATCTGTGGATTAGGCAAATAGAGAATACTGAGAATGGATATTTCAGGATGATAATGATCACTTATGAGACAGAAAGAAGTCCTGATGTGGCACTATGAGTTAATGCGCTGGACTGCGGGGTCAGTTTGAACAACAAGGTCGGCAGTTCAAGCTCACAGCTGCTTCTCGGAAACTCTATATAAGGTCACTATGAGTCAGAACCAACTCGCTAGCACTTAATAACAACAACAATTAGAAGGAAAAAAAACCAAAACAGTCTTAGTTGTTAAGATAAACAATAATTATGTCAAACCTGTAAATCTAGCTGGATGCAGAAAAACATAAGATATTAGATTCATATTCTAGTAAAAAATTATGTCCTGTATCCAGAAGACAGGTTTAAGAAACTATTTATGAAAGATATACTAAACAAAATATATGAAGAGACCAACTGTTACACACAGACATGCCATATAAATGTATATAGTATATTATTTAATATTTAATAGATTTCATTTACTTACAGCATTCATAGGAAAGGTAGTAAAGACAATGCAGTTAATTTAATAAATATAAATACATAAATAGGAGCTAATGTCTTTAAATTCAACCAAAAGATTTCCATTAGTGATTTATTTTGTAATTCTATACAGTGTACATAGCAGAGGTCATGTCTCTATTGTCACTAAATAAACATCTGGTATCCCAGTTAATAATTTTTTCTGTCTACTCCCATTCCAACAAATGTAATTAGTCTTAAGTTAAGATTCAACCTTCAAAGGTATATTCTATATGTATAAAGGCACACTCACTCTTTTTAGAAGCATAAAAATCTCAGTACCAGTTCATTGAAAGATAATTTTTATATGGAGTCCTGGTGTGGCACTGTGGAATAAAACGCTGGACTGCAAGGTCAGTTTGAACTATACGGTTGGTGGTTCAAACTCACCAGCTGCTCCTTGGAAACCATATACGGGGTTGCTGTGGGTCAGGACCAACTCAATGGCACTTAACAACAAATAGAGAAAAGGGAATCCTGGTGTGGCGCTGTAGGATAAGCACTTGACCAAAAGGTCAGTTTGAACTGCAAGGTCAGCAGTTTAAATTCACCAGTCGCTCCTCAGAAACTCTATACAGGGTCACTATGGGTCAGAACTGACTCAACAGCACTTAACAACAACAAAGGAAACTAATGGTAAGAAACTTCTTCTTGGCCACTATGAACATTGCATGTTTTTAAAAAGAAAGGATTTTAACAACTGGCCAACCATCCTGATTTTTGTTTTCTTTCTTCTTTCAATTTTATGTAAGTAATGGTAAAATACTGAAAAAACTTTTTTAAAAACCTCCTTCATTAGTCTTTAAATGAGCAAGCTGTATCTTTTAATACTTGATCTCACTTTCTCCAGGTAAAATCAGGATCTTAGTGTCAATCTCTCCCCCAACACCAAGATATTAAGATTTTTATGTCCACAATCATTAGTGGCCAGAAACAAAAGCTGGTGAAAGGGTCTGCAGAGGTGAATGTTGAACAGCCAAGCTATGATACTATATTCATCATCTTAAAATGCTCACCTATTATTCCACTGTAATAATACTGTTAATTTTTCTCATTACACAATACAGAAAAAGTGTCCATGAAAAACATGTAATTACAGCAGTCTTCCCAAAAGTGTATGCTTCCAGTGATTTTATCTAACAATTTTTAATTCTGCAGGCTATCCTATTTAAAAGAGGATTACAGTGTCCCCACTTATCGAAAGCTCACTATGCACCACTTTGCTTTTATGTAACACCTACATTAGTACCTGTTTTTCATTAACCAAAAGAAATCCAGAGAATTTTTTATTTCACAAAAATAAAGAGTGATAAGGAAAATTAGCATTCAGTATTTGTTTTGTAGAGAGCTGTTAAAAAGATAGAGGATCACTGAGCAGTGAGAATAGCATTCCAAGTGACTTCCTAAGGAACTACACTCAGCATCAAGCCGCCAGAGCTTTGAATGTTTGTCTGTGATTTTTGGTTTAATGAGTTGTTGGGCATGAGTTGATTCGTTTTTTTTGGAGTCTGAAATGCTTTAATTTTTTTCCCATATAAATTAATGGCAATTGCTTCTTTATCTTAAGCCATTTGGCTTAAAAAAAGACTTAACAAGAATGCTTTCAGACAATGGGGGAATTTGTGTATGATTACTCAATTAACAATTCTTTTAAGAGATTACTCAGCTAATAGTTCTTTTAAGAGATAACTTTAAAGTTCTATTCTTTTAAGGCTGTTGCTAATATTCTCAAAGATTTTTCTTTAAAGTTCAACATTTAAAATTTTTGTAAGAAGTTATTAAAAGAAAAATTGCACTGTTCTGAACTTCTATTAGGTAGATACTGATTCTATTGTGAATAAAACTTCTTCCTATTTTTGCTTCAAAATGTATACTGCTTGTTCAGTTTCTCAACCTAAAAGGCAGAACAGTAAAATAGCATAAACCTAGGATTCTTTCCCTCTGATAACATAAGTTAAAATTTTTTGTAATTTATTAACATCAAAAATAAATTCCAAAACCAATACTGTTGTTGTTAAGTATCATCAAGTCAGTTCCAACTTACAGTGACCTCTGTATAGGGTTACTAAGGAGCAGCTGGTGAATTTAAACTGCCGAACTTGTAGTTTGAAGTCTAGTTACAGTGCTACACCAGGAGTCCAAAACCAGTACTGTTTTTGTTAAGTGCTATTGAGTAGGTTCGGATCCATAGAGGCCCTATATAGAGTTTCCAAGAAGCAGCTGGTGAGTTTGAACCTCTGACCTTGCAGTTCAAACTGACCTTGTGGTCATGTAAATGACCTTAAATACAGAGAATAAAGTAAGACATCCTTATGACAAAGTTTGTGGACAAACAACCAAAAGATTTCAAAGTTTTGATTTAGAAAGGTTTTTAGAATAAATGATTTTAAAAACAAAAAGTCAAATCACGGCAGTTATGTTGATATGAAATCACAAACTATACATAAAAAATGAAAATAGAATGAAAAAAACTACTTAGAAAAATTTTCTTATTTATAAATCATATTTATCTCTATTGACTTATTCTGAGACTTTTTTCAATACAAATTCGTTAAGTCCTCAAAAAAAGGAATCCTTCAAATTTATATAGAAGGGAGCATCAAAAAGTTCCTGGAGAAAGGAATGGAAAGACAATGGAATTTTTCCAGGATCATTTTGAATTCCCCTTATATGCTTTATTTTACATTCCCTGAATTAGTTTATTTCAGTGCTATTTCTCTAACACATACATATTTATAGTGAATAAAACATAGGATTTAATTTATTTGAAATCAAATTCTTCTATAACTTTTTATTAGCCTTCACTCATAACAAACAAAATTAAAAAAACAAAAACAAAAACAAAAAACTTCCCTAAAAACAGTGCTTTCCTTTTTAAAATTGTTTTCCTCATTCACAGACTTAGAAAGACAAGAGTCCTAGATACAGTTGCAAACAGAAGAGATGAACTTCAAAGGACAAATTTCTCATCTAGTTGAGAAAACAAGTAGACATTAGAAAAATATAGTATAAAAGAATATTGTTATTTTAAGTAACTTGTAAAAGATTAATCTTTAGGATTTCTTCACTTCTGGTTTGGTCACAGTTTCCTTCAAAAAAAAGTCATGGAACTATTATTTTGTGAAAGCACAGTTAACATACAAATTTTCCATCCAATTTCAGGGAGTGCATACATTCCCGAAAGCCCACAGAATTTGACACTAAGAACAGTCGAAGTTGTGAAAGATCTCTGAAGTAACTCATGAAAATATGACGTGTAACAATCTCTTTGAATTCTAAATTACATCAACCTTTTACTTTAAAATCTTGAATAATACATATGATACAATAAAATTAACAGTAATTATAAAAGTTAAATATAACATGAAATACAATCTTGTATTAAAAAAAAATACTATTATCTAAATGACTAGTTTAAATTATGCATGTTTTTTCAATTCATTCAATCACACAGATGTCAGAGGTGAAAATGTAATATATTTGGGCATTATTACTAACTTTTCTAATTATTGGGGAGCAAAAAACCACATTTGCTTATAAAAGAAAAAGTCAAGAAATTTCAAACTTTATAGATATAAATGCTACCTAAGAAGCTGCTCCTTGGAAACCCTCCAGGGTTGCTAGGGGCCAGAACCAACTCGACAGCACTTCACAATAACAACAACAAAGGACCCAACTGACAAAATCACAACCAGTATTTTGCCTAATTATACTCTAAATGAACTACATCTGTAAAATGTACCTTTAGTTTCTCTTCTTCCTCATCAACCTTTATTATTTAAGGATAATAATATCTGAGTCAATTCTCACTAGCAATATGCTAAGTAGCAGTGGAATAAACTACTAGCATTACTCTTATTTTCATTTGATCATGAAAACCTGAAGTATTAGCAACATCTTATTTTCTTCTAATCATGAAAACCAGGGGTTTATATTGAGTTCTGAAAATGTAAATGTATAAACAATGTCTTTAAAATACTACCTTTGATCAGAATTCCCATAAATAAATTGATGCATTTTTTTATATGGTGGTCAGCAAACAGTAAAATAATTAACTAAAGAATGTATTCCAAACCATGTCTCTCAACTATCTCAGTCATCTGTACTGTTAATTACAATATGTTATATTTTGCTATTTAGAATAATCAGACTAGGCCTAATTTCTTAAAAAAATTTTCAATTACAGGAATGGGTACTAATCTAATGTATTTTCTCAATTCCACTTTAGTACAGATCAAGAATTTACTAAGTATTCAATAAATCTAATAAAAAATTTTAAATAATATAACCTATATTTTAATCTGAAATATTTTACCAAAATTTGGTAATCCCTAAATGATTTTCAATGATAAAAGCCCTGAAACATTCCAGATAGTTGAGAGATGTGGTTAAAGTAACAAAGCAATAAATGAGGTCTAGTAAACCATCATGGTAGAAGACACAACAATCACTTGGCATCTTGAGTATTATATTCAGTTTCTCCAGCTGAAATCTGGCTGAGCCGCTTGCTAGATCCCCACAACTTTCGAGAAAGCTGACCTGAACGCATCTGTTTAAAGTAATCCAAAGAAATGAAGAGTAGATGTTATTAAGGGGAAAAAAGAATAAATGAATTTGATATACACATCACTGATGCAGAATGAAGAAATAGGTTCTGTTAGTAAAATCATTAACATTTAAAAAAGTCTTGCTTAACAGTAATTTAAAAGAAGATTCTACAACATTGATTATATCTTTCAGTTGAAAAGGTCTAATACTAATGTGGAAATAAAAAAATTCAGTGTACCAGTTATGTCAAAATTACCAGGCTCCCTTATTTTACATATTAACAAAATTAAATATTCATTAAAATAAGCTTTGGATACTATACCTAATCTATCTAAACAGAGACACAGATTTGGGGTTTTCTTCTATTGGCTTTGTAGTCCTATTAATGTCAATCATAAAGATACAAAACAAAAGTAAAATGATTGTTTTATTAAAAAAGTAACAAACATTATCATGTAAGAATTTTAAAAGTGATTGTTACTAATAAAATGTTAGAGAGCAATTTAAGAAAGTAGAATAGTGTAAGTTCTTTGAAGGTGACAACCCCATTTTATCTGTACGATATAGCACACTTCCCAGCAAATAATAAATATTATTTACATATTAAATGAACCAGTGAAAAAATACTCTTTTCAAAGTGCTTACATTTCTTGGTAGGACAGAAACAATAAAACAAAACAAAATAAACTCATGGGACGCATTTCTCAATCTTACCAAATAATCTGTTGGAATTATTTTTCTAAGTGTCCTTTTTAAAGATGATTCCTCTGCCCACTTTTTTAAATGGTCCCTTTTCTAGGGTACATTTATTAGAGTGATAAAAACAAATCTCATAGAAAGATACCAGGGCTTTGGTATGCTTGTTTTGCATTTTCACTTTCAGATTTTTATTTGAAATATTACTTATATTTATCTGTTATTACCTTACCATTGTAATTATAAATAAGAATTTCATACCGATAGTATAATATTTAAATCTGATACATGATTTAAAAATACACCTTAATCAAGATGTTGATCTTTGGATAAAAATATAAATTTCCTTTTTCATGACTAAATATTGAGCTCTTTAATATTCTAAAGTCACATTCATACATTGTTTTCAATTATGCAAGCTTATGTATCCAATACGATTATTTACTAGATACAAATATCAGCTGATATATTCAAATCTATGTATAGTTCAGATTCTATATAAAAGTATATAAACTTTTCAACAGGGCAAATTATGAAATGAACTTCAACAATATGACACAACATTAAATTAGGTTTATAAAGGGAAGCTGCTTAGGTGCATTTCTTTCAATAAATTTTGAAAAGAGAACAAATGTAATGGCCATCTCATTTAAAAATTTTTCAGAAAAATTAGAAACTGACAAACTGGGGGAGGACAAATTCAAAAGGCATTTGAAACCACAGAAAGTGAAAAAAAATTTTAAAGCACAGTCTGAGCAGATTTCTTAAACAATTTTCATATTAGCAGAAGACAGGAGGGCAGTATTTATTTGGAAAAGTTATTAATAAACTCAATTAGTGTTGACTGGAAACATACTTAGATTATAAGTGAAATACAGAGGTACAGAGTTGCCACTGGAGGACTATTATGTCTGAAACGGAATGTTGTTTCAGTCACCTTTATGTAGCAAAACTTCTTGTGTTAAAGCAATATATTATACAAAGAGGAGTATAATGACAAAAGAAATCTTTAAATATTTATTTTTTTAAAAGGCTCTGATGATAGATGGTAACTACTGATACTGTGGTAGTAATATTTTTCTCTTCAAATAACCCCAACTGATGTCATGCTGTCATATCACCATCCCTGAAAAAACTAGGTGGTGATATAAATAACTTATAATGCTTAATTTCATGCTTAAGAATATAGATTTTCTAGAAGAATAATTAAATTACTTGAGAGTATAGCCATATTAGATTTATGATGTATGAATATTTAGGAATTGATAAACTTTTGGCAATTAAATTGACAATATAGGAAACTGAGAATTAGTTGTGGCATATTCTTAGTTCCTAGAAAAACAATCTTGCGTTTATAAAAGGACAACTGACATACAGTCATGCTAGATTTTTGTTAAACTAAAGGGATGTATTTTTGAGTCTATGTTTCATATTTTGTACGGGTTTTTATGTTTTGAAAATCCAAGAAGTGATCTCAAATCAGTATTTGGAAAGATAGAGAATAAAAGAATTTTCTCATTCCTATAGATAGAATTGGAGTCCTGGTGTGGTGC